CAAATGTTCCAATCTTATAAATGTTCACATGATTCACTCTCAAATATTAACCATTTAAAATTCAATCAGTTTATACAAAGCTGTCTTTAATTTGTAGATTCCGAAACATTTGGGACAGTTGTTGCCTAGACGCTAGCGTGTCGGAGTGTGGATCTAAAAAAACAATCGTGTTCCTCTATTTGAGGAATGTGGATACATCATAAGAGCTCCCCAGTGGCAGAGCGGTATGTCTGCGGACTTATACTGTTAGAAATCGGGTTTCGATACTCGTGATGGGCAGAGCACAGATAGCCCATTGTGTAGTTTTGTACTTAACTAGAAACAAAAGACATCATAAGAATGACAATCAAATTTCATTATTCAAGTAAAGTTTCAAAAGACTTAACAATGAGTATCATTGACTAGATTGCCTTACGTTTAGTCTACAGAGCTGAGTACATTATATCAAAACCATTGTGAATATGAAAAGCAGCATGTTACGTGGCAAATACAGCAAATATAAAGTCGCAGTGATACGGAATAAATCAGAACTACATTTTTGCATTGTTGTCGTTACGTAGGTAATGTAATGCCACAGAAAATTGATCAGAGGTTGATATTTTCCAAGATGGAGATACCCTCTGTAGTTAATGGCATTGGAAAACAGGGAAACATGGATCAACTTGGGGCACCACTACCAACCAAAAAAGAAACTTTCAACACGTCGTACGCCCGCCATGGTAATCGTTGTACAGTGTCTTGTAACAGGTGAGAATCCATGAGCACAAAGGTTAGTGATAAAAGCCGTCCAGGTGTCTCGGACAACAGGATCTCCAAGCAAAAGGGGAATGAAACGAGTATTCATGCTATTCCTTGTGTACACATACCAGTCAAGTCACCAGAGGCAGTGCCTATGGATTTCTGTGCGATTGAACTTGAAACGGTCATTGTTGAAACTGTTGTCCTCGCACAATATATAAACCATGGCAAGCCTGCAGGAAAGAATGATGTGCTATGGACATGTCATTCTATGACTAAGCCTTTTACAGTGGAAACTATGCTACATGGTTATTGTCAAGATGCACGGACGTCAAATAGAGCATGGCCGGATATGGTGACATGGACTGTAATGTTAATTCTGGTGCGAATTCAAAATTGTTTTAAAATAATGACCCGTGGCCGAAGCTAGCCATGGGGTCACCACGGTCTAGACCTCGGTTAAAATGTGAAATTAAATGTAACGTACAATTTAATTTTTCACCCATATTGAAAGGTATACAATATCTAAGGCTGACCCTATCGATGTTTAGACCTCGGGTAAATTTTTACTCTAACAACAGCCATTGGTGTACCCAATTCTGTGTATAAGTTTAAAAATAGTGACGGCTAACACAAACAACCCTTATGAAGCTTTGCACAAGTACTCGAAAAAACCCAGTTGAGATGTTTGATTAAATATGTTTACAACTGTTCCTGTGGTGGTCGTTTATAATTAATCTCCGGTTTCCATCCGTTGAATCTATTGATATATTGTGAGTTCAGAACACGTGTTTTCCCTGTAATAAATACAAACCATAATATATATTGTTGCGAAACTCTAAAAAGTAAAAGCTATTTCCTGGTATATTTCGGAATACATGAGTATATGTCTTACATTTTATCATTTGATATATCCCGCTTTTATCCTGTTTTTTAAACTTCTTAGGAATAATGAAAAAACTAATAACCACTTTTATCCATTTAGCAAGCGAGCTTCGTACAATTTTAAACTAACAAAAGTAAATAAGATATATTTATAGCTTGAAGTCTTAACAATTTATCAAACCAGTCTATTCTAATATCCACTGAATTAACGAACAATATGAAGTTTTGAAACAGTTATTTCGTGGGACAATACTTATTTCTGTTTAACGTTTCGTCTCTAACAGAGAAACATGATCACGTACAACATTTAAACACTATTCTAGTGGTTTGAAAGTGTATTTCCAGCTTTCTTAAACACTAAACAATAGAAATATTTATAGTAGAAGGAAAAGAGTTTTCTCGACATGGAAGAATGTTTTTCTTCTTCCAATTGGGCTAACCAAAACTTTTTAAACAATATTTTTGAGTGCAAAAATGATTTTGGTTAAGGAACAGAAGCATTTAAAAGTCTTTATGTACAGTTTGTTTGTAGTTATGTACAAAGCTACACAATGGGCTGTCTGTGCTCTGCCCACCACGGGTATTGAAACCCGGTTTCTAGCGTTGTAAGTCCGCAGACATACCACTGTGCTACTGGGGGCTTTTATATACAAAATAGTAACAAATATACACTTGAAACTTATATTTTTTTATATTACTTTGTCTCTTTTAACAAATAACTCTTGATCGTGTTATTAACTATGCTAAATGGTGTGTTTAAAGGCAATTTCAAAATGTTTTTGTAAATTAGTTGTATTTGTTTCTTTATCTATCTAAATACTGATATACATAGTTTTGTTGAAGGCACTGTAAACTATTTCAGTTTTATGCAATAATAATGTTGAAGGAGTGACATATATAGTAATGTTAAAGATGTCTAATATTTAGTGACATATATAAGTATCTTGAAGATGTCTAGTATTTAATGACATATATAAGTATCTTGAAGATGTCTAGTATTTAGTGACATATATAAGTATCTTGAAGATGTGTAGTATTTAGTGACATATATATAATAATGTTGAAGATGTCTCTTATTTAGTGACATATATAAGTATCTTGAAGATGTCTAGTATTTAGTGACATATATAAGTATCTTGAAGATGTCTAACATTTAGTGACATATATAAGTATCTTGAAGATGTCTAGTATTTAGTGACATATATAAGTATCTTGAAGATGTCTAACATTTAGTGACATATATAAGTATCTTGAAGATGTCTAGTATTTAGTGACATATATAAGTATCTTGAATATGTCTACTATTTAGTGACATATATAAATATCTTGAAGATGTCTAGTATTTAGTGACATATACAAGTATCTCGAAGATGTCTAATAGTTAGTGACATATATAAGTATCTGAGGTGCTTCACTACGTTACCATCTGCAAGTTTTGGGTTTTACTTCGTCTTATTTAGTAAACAATTTGTTTTGTATATAGCTTTGATCCTTTTTGTAGCAGTTTTGAGCATCATCTTCACTACATCATTAACTATATTGATTGTGTTTTTAACGAACTGTTTATTTGAGGAAAGACGGTGTCTAGTTGTTTATGTATTAACTTTTAAAACATAGTAAGCGTATTGTATAACTGTTCATATATAGTGCACGAAAAACAAACAACAAACTGCACAATCTTTAGATTTTAATGTCTCACACGGGCAGAAACATGGAATTTAACAATTAATATATGTCAATGGAATTAAAATTCACAAAATTTGTTTGATTAAAAATATATGAGGATCCTAGACACAGAAAGAAATGATTTGAGAGGTGTATTAGAGATATACCATAATACCACCTTTAGGCATGAGGAGTTCGAATACGACACTAGTGTCATTATAAATACACTGTAAACTGTAATAACGCCACTAAGTATAAATTGTTGAGATACCTTAATGATCTTATTACAGGTACATTCTTTTGACTACTATATGTTACCGTGATAAATCCATGTGGCCTTACTGTTGCCATTAGTTTTTTTTTATGCTGTGGTCATGAAGATATCAAGGAATTTATAACTATTGCCATGCCATAATAACACTTTCGTTGCAATCAAGATCGTTTTAACTATTAGTAAGCCATGTTAACATTGCCGTTGCACTAACAGCATTTGTAATAATAAAAATACCAACGTTAGCAGGCTGGCATAGTAAATAGACCGTGATACGCTATCGTCTCAACGGCGGTACTTGCTGGTTTGAAGATATGCTAATAAAGCATGTGCTAAATGAAGACGATATATCCAAAACATATATGTGTTAATAAAACTGCTTTCTATCTTTCTGATGTAGGCGAACTTGAGACCTGTTTGTCACTCGATGATTCAGTCTCTGAGATTTTCACTTTAGAAGGATTCCTTGGATGATGTGAAATACTGCGAAGCTGTTTTCTAGTTATCTCTAGATGACGTTGAATGTATTCTACTTTTGGGTGTAGATTGACGGCGTTAAGAAAGCATAATTCTGCCTCTCTCAGCTCACCAGCTTGGTAATAGACCACGCAGAGGTTATGTAGGCCTTGCATGTGCCGAGGGTTGATCCGAAGAATCTTCTTATAACACTTTAAATCGAAAAATGAAAACATTTAGCAAACTAAGAAATAAAGATATAGTGTATTCATCTATTCATTGAAGAAAACACTGAATTTTGAGGTCCATCTAATACCGATCTAAGTAATATACACTTTTAAGTCTAAAGCGATAAAGTATAGAGTTTGTTTGTTATGAATTTTGCGCAAAGTTACACGAAGGCTATCTGCGCTAGCCGTCCCTAATTTAGCAGTATAAGAC